ACAGTGAGGGAGCTGGGATGCATCCCACTCATGTAGGGCCACACACTGCAGCCAGCCATCGCTCCCTGGGGTTGGAGGGAGGCCTTGGGGGAGGATGTCCCAAACTGGGACTGACCCCGCACCACATCCCTGTGGCATCCACAGCTGCAAGAAGGTGCTGCGGGCTGGCTGCTGGCAGCAGTGAGCCCTTCCCGGGGCCTGGCTGTGCCTGATCCTCTGCTATGAGCCTGGTTTTGGTGTCACTGCAGCGGGAGCCAGCAGGATGCCCCGGCTGCCACCCTGGTTCCCTCTCCCTGCCGCCTGCCAAGCGGGCGGCACAGGGGAGCCAGCGGATAATGCGCTGCATTGTGCTCTCCCAGCACCTTTTCCCCCTCCACAATCTAACCATTGTGCTTGTTTTATCGCTATTAAACCTCAGATGAACATCAAAGGGAAAGAAGTTCATCAAAACAGGAGCAAAACAAAAGGCTTTTAAAGCGCGGTTATCGTGCGCCGAGCAACGCTCTGTTCAAAGGCAGAAAAGTTCACGTTAAATATAGACAACCTCCCTGGCTCTGCTTTAATGGGAGAGCACCCGGCGGCCCTGGGTGCCATCCCACAGCCGGACTGGTTGCTGGAGCTGTTACAGCACATCCCTCTCCGTTTTCAAGGCACTGCCAGGTGTGGGTGCCGGAGCTGGCCGAGGCTGCTGATGTGCAGGGAACAGCCAGCAACGGCCTGGGAAAGCACATGCTTTATTCATACAAGTGAGTGGCACTTTCTGCTCAAAATATAAATAGTGAATGTTGTTTTCTAATGAAGTGCTCTCTAATGGCAGCTGGGAGGCTTTGGTTTTCCCCGGGAACAAACGCTGGGAACTCAAATAACCGGGAATAGTTTTGCAATTCTCAATCATGTTAATAAGCTATAAACTGTGTAAAATGTACTGGTCGCTGGAGAATTGTAAAATCCGGCTGCAGCTCATGCACAAGCTCTTTTTTTTTAACTAAAAAGCAAAAAAAGACCCAGTGGGAGATGGGCCGAGGGAAAGGCTGGTTATGTGATTAGCACTTCTTGCCAGGGGAAGGCAGAGTGGGTCTCCTCAGGAATATGTCCATTGGTTAAGGTCACGTTCCCAGAATGAGTCCAAGGTCTGCTCCAAAGTCCCTGACACGTGGGACAAAAAGTTGATGGTGTCAAAGATATTTTGATCTCAATAAATATTTATTATTTACTTGATTACTTACCTTTTTCCCTTAAGTAAGATTTTTTTTGTTAAGACAAATTTACATTTTACCATTTCCCATTTAGTAGCTGCTCCAGTGAGAGAAAGCACAACAAAGTGGAGCAGAAAGAAATGTTTCAGCTCGTGTTGAAGTGGGGGAAAAAACCTCATAGTCTCAGAGACAATGAAAGATTTTTTTTTTCAAATATCCATGGAGAAATACACTGTTTATGCATTTGGAGAACTAGATCATGAAAAAGAAAGAGAATGTCTCCTATTTTCCAGCCTTGCAATCACGGAGCATACCAAATTCCTGTTGAGGTGATGCTCATTTTGTGCCAGAGATAGCATATGACACAAAATAAATTTCATTCTCAGCTCCGGGTAAAAAATTTGTTACCACGGGCTTACACAGGGACAGACTTATTCAGCCCAAAAGTTTGAAGCCTTAGGATGATGGGCTGTAAGGTCTGTTTTGGTAGGTAGTATTTTCTTTGTTAAACCCATAAAGCAGAAATTGTTGTAGGCAGTGATACCTTTATCTGAAAAAACACCCCTGCTATCAGTAGCCAGAAAAATTGAAAGCAGCAAATACAAATAAATATCAGAGAGGGGGAAAAAACTTCTTAAAGTCTTGTAATTTGAAGGCCAGCTATGCCTTGTCCACTAGTTTATTTTTAAAAGTGACCCACGCAGGGAATATACGTGCCAAAGAAGTCCACGGGCTGAGGTATTACATGGTGTGATCCAGACAAAGGACTTTTTTTTAAGTCCATATAAAGCTGAACACAAAGATAATCCACAGCTACAGCCTGCAGGTTGCTACAAAACCCCCAAGAAAGCCTCTGCAAGAAGGGGTAAACAATTAACACAAATTTTAAATCAATGCGCTGTCACCTTAATAGGCAGCGAAGTCAGCTAAGATGGGTGTAATATGATGAGACAGTTTAATTCTTGTTATGACATTAGCTGCAGACTTTTACAACAGCTGAAAATGCCGGAGTGAGAAGAGTTTCCAATTATCACTGAGCTCTGATACACAACTCTGGATTAGACTGAGGCATGAACAAGGGCTCCTCAGCCTGGCAAGCAACACGGAGCAAAGGCTGTGGAAGTTTCCGAAAGCCGAGGAAGACATTTTCTCTTCTCTCCCCTTGCTGACACACTCCTGAAAAGGTTTATTTCATACAAAATAAGGCCATTTTTTAAGAGCCTCACAGTGAAACCATCTCCTAAGCTGTGTGTGCTACAGTGTTATACCCCATAAATCCATACATCCAGGAGGTGAACTGAACCAATCTGAAACGATTCTGTTTTCCCAGCATTAAGCTTCAAAAAAATTAAAAGTCACCCAGGCTTGAAGGCAGATAGACAGGTAATAAGCCATGACAGCACTTCACGGGAATCCGCAGGAATAGGCAAGTAGGTCTGGGTGTCAGCCATATAAATATGATCATCAGACCCAAAGCTCCGAGTAATACCGCCAAGTGTGAGCATGTCGATATTAAAGGCAAGCGGGCTGTGAACAGGAGCCCGAGGCAGTGGTGAGTTTAACTGATGGCCTGCTGGCTGGGGAGGCTGTCCCCCTTCCCCAGAGAAGGGCTTGGAGCCTGGAAACGCAGATCCCAGAGCTGGGAAGGGGCTGAGATTCCCACACCAGTAAGAAGGCTCTCCTTCGGGGTAACGCAGCTGCGCTCGCTGGCAGGGGACTTAGTTTTTCGTGTTTTGGGATGGTTTTGCCCCAGTTTTATTTCATAGTTGGTTTTTGATCTCTTTTTTTTTTTTTTTTTTTTTGTAAACCTGACAAGAACAACACTCCTCCTGGACCCTGCTTGCACAGGAGAATTTGTCATACCAAAGAGAATTTGTATGCACCTCTTTCATGGCTTTTGTCCGGCTCTTGGGGGCAATTGCAAACATGGGGAAGTAGCTGGGTGGTTTGAAATAGTGACTCTTTAACCCAAAGATGTCTCATTTTGTATCACTCATGTCACATTCCTCTGCCTTTTTTAATATTGCTTTTGGAAAAATGGGTCACTGTTTCCTTTCCAGATCATAATGAGGGAAATCATTTTGTCAGGCTTCTCCCCGTACAGTCCTTCTGAGTTTCCCCCATGTTATTTCCCATAGCTGAGAATACAGAAAGGAGAAAAGTAGACTGGTAAGAGGATAACTGGGAAAAGCCCTACCCTGAGCTAGAAAAGGCCTTTGCTGAAAAATAAGTTATAATTCACTAAAAGGCCTTTTCCACTCTCATGAAAGCCCCATGAGTGCTCCACATTGACTGATTACGTCCCAGAAGTTCCCCTGCTTCCTGGTTGGGTAAGGCCTTAGCTGAAAAATAAATCATCTCTCTCTAAAATGCCTTTTCCAATTCTTTTAAAAGCCCCGTGAGTGTTTGCAGAAGTCACCTCGGGTAGCTTGGACCGCAGAGAGCAGAAAAGGGTCCTGCAGCCTGGGGCACTGTCTGGCACCAGGCAAGGAAAAAGAGGATGTCACAGAGGGAGAAAAGCCGAAACTCCACTCCAACCCCCCAAATCCTAGCAGGAGAGACCTGTCTGAATTCAGCCCTTGTTTTTTTTTCTTTTGTGACACTCTTTATTTGGCAACTCGTTTTTAAAAAGATTGACCTGAAAAGTTGCTGTGTCATGCAGTACCTTATTCTGCCCGGTAAAGTAAGCTAATTTCTCATTAAAATGGTTGGCTTCCAACCTCCTCCCCTCCCTGGTGAGTGAATAAATAAATAAATACACTTGAATTTGTCCTCGATATGCTCTCTCTGCTCTTTCCAAAGCAGAAAGAGAAGCTTTGAGCCTGGCACATGTTGTCCTCTCCCAGTCGCTCCAGAGGTTAAGGGACAGCTGAGGGGTGGTCGTGGGGTGGTCCAGAGGCTTCTGATGTGCATCCTAATGGCACCTGTACCCCTTGCAGGTGCCCCGTGTCCTGCAAAACACTCCTTACCTGCTTGGATCTGTGCTCAGTCCCTTCATGGGCAGTTTCCCTACCCTGGTGCCACCTGCAAAACTCTCAGTTCAGGATGCCACTTGCTGTCTGCTCCTCTCCCAGAAAAATTCACCTCCAGCTTTTTTATTTCATGATGCCAAATCCCTGGAGTGAAAAGGGGATTTCATGCCTTTATATGGAATTGCAAACCTGCATTAAGCCTCAAAAGATGTTTTTATCAAAAAATCTCGACAGCTGCCAACTTCCCTAAATCCCAAACTATCATTACACATTTAGTCTTAGACAGGGGATTTTTCTGGATCTTCCCTCCTGACCCAATGATAAAGCCAAGCTGGTTTGAGATGGAAGATTCATTTATCTCTCCTTGGTAATTATCTCTATTACTGCCCACAATCCTTCCCAATCTTTTTAAACAACATCCTGCTATTAAAGCCACTTGGCAAGCACTTAAAGCCCTGGGATAAGTTAACCATGCACAAAATATCCCACTTGGGGAAGGATCCAGCTATAAAAATAAATGGTTTACGTTCCGAAGGCCGTGGTTCAGGATGGGTATTCTTCATTTGTGAAGAGAGGTCATCATTGCTGACAATAAAATTATGTAGGACCTGATCCTCCCCCACTGAGCTCAATAGCAAAATCCCTCCTGATTTCAATGGTGTTTTCCGGGGTCAGTCGCCGGGAAAGCCGACATTCCACAAAGTTGCTGAAAATCTATAATTGGATATATTAAGAGGGCTTTCAAAGAGATGTCAGATTTGGAGGCTTAGTGTAAACTGTGCTGCAAAGGGGATCATTTCGTATAACTGAATCAATAAAGCTTTTTTTTTAGCGTTACTTTCCTACTTGATCTCCGATGACGGAAAAGCTGAGCTCTGGAGGAAGTGCTGGGAGCCTGGTCGGAGTGTGAGCCACTGTCTGGTGGGAAAAGATCCTGCCAAGTGACCTGGTGTAAGCTGTGAGGGGTGTAATCCTGCAAGTGTTTGATCCAGTGGCTTTGCTTACACTGTGGAGGTAACTCGTGCGTGTAAGTACTGGAATACCGAGCCCTTATTTTCATGGTGTTGCTGGTCTCCTGTCACAACACATCTCTTTGGGAGATATGATTGAGAGTTTTGATGAATTTTGCTGTGCCTTACGTGTCTATATTTAGTAAAATGCAGCTTAGTTTGTATCTTTGGAACAAGATATGGATTTATCCCCCAAATGCATTTTTTTAAACTCATGGGCTGTACTTCAAAGTGTTCTTTAACGCCACTTTTGAAAATGCTCACTGGTAGCTCCTCAGGAACTGGAAATCTTCCATTTTTACTTACATGGTGCTTTTCTGGCTGATGAGCATCGTTTTCCTTCTGGTTCTCACGCAGAGAAAGGGCTGCTTGGCACGGAGCAGCTGTGCCAGGGAGGGCAGGCACAGGGACAGCCACCTCAGGAGACAGACACCGTTGTGCCTGTGGGGTTCCCCCTCTTGCAGGTCCCTGGAGAAGGGACACCAGAACTGGGTTTGCTCCAGGTTGCTTCACCCTTGCAGCTGCCTCACTGTAAAAACCTGTGGGTCATCTCCCCTCCAGTGTCCCCATGGCTGTGCAGGTGGGGATGGGGAGACACCCACAGCTCCCACAGGTGATGCTGCCGTTGGGACCTGCTGCAGGTCGCCACTGGGGTGCAGTCACATTTTCCCACTGTTTCTCTTTCCCTACCATGTCAGTGAAGCTGTCCTCCATGGGGCCACAGTGACAAAGCTTGCTCATAGTTCCTGGAGAGCTTGATTGTTTTTTTCCCTTTCCTTTTCAGTAAAAGCTGAAATTCAGTAGAAGTTGATGAGACCACCGTGGAGAAATGCTGGTTCACCACACTGGCTGGTACCAGCTTGATCTGGCTCCAGCTCCGGGATGTGCAGCCTACAGACACAGTAATGAAAAGAAATATTCTGAAAAGGATGAGTCAGCTGGAGGCCAGTGGGGAGAGCAAGTGGGATCTGACTGGAATTTAAAAAGTTATGAGGCTACATGTTGTTTTGAGCTCTGCCAGTGGAGAGAAACCCATACACGCAAAAAGCTTTGTCATCTGACATAATTATGTTACTTTGCTGATTAGCTCATAAACTCTTTTCAAAAACACTTTTAGACAATAGTAAGTTCATGGAATATAAAAACTTCCTGCTAACACCACCGACAAGGACCTGCTTTACATGTTACTGAGAACTGTCTTTGCCAGAACTCCACCAGACTGTTGAACGGCCACGAAATTTTTCTCTTACAATGTATTAGATGACTTACCCACTAAAACAGTTGAGGTATCTTCACATCTTCACTTCTGTGCTGTAAGTACCTCTATGCTGATGTGAGCTGTGAATAAATCCACACTGGTAGCGCAATCTGCATTTCTCCACTTGATTTTTTGTACTTTTGCACTGATTGGGACATCAGCAGTTTGGCATGAAGCTTCTTCACTCGCTCCTCCAGCCAGGTACCAACATGTCCTTCCTGGTTTCTTTGGGAAGCAGTGCCCTGCATTCATATAATTTGCAAGGCAGATAACTTTCAAATGTATGAGGTTTCGGCTGCAAGGTTATTTAAATAAATGACATCAGAATTACTTCTATTTGTTGTGTGAAAATATATGCTTCCCATTCCCTCTTCAAAAGGAGCTGATTCACTCAGTCCCTGTTCCCTACCTGGTCAGACTAGTGAGGGGAGTCCGTGCTTGTTTCTGGAGCATCTCTAAGCAGGCGGTTGGGAAGGAAATGCCACTGACTCTGACTGGCCACCTTTTACAATTGCACTATGTCTGCATTCCTTCATCTTTCCTCCCAGTGAACCTTGTCATTTATGGGGATGCTGACATAGACTGCATAACAGGTCCTGAGAAATATGGGTACCCATTGGTGAGCACAAGGCATAGCTAATTGCTACCTCCTCTCGGTGGAGTAGGTCCCTCTCTCGTGTGTGGATAAATGAGCCACCAGTTCAATCAGACTAAACCAGAAGAGGTAATTCCTCCAGGTGATTTCCTGAGATCTTTTGTGGGAAGCAGGGAAGCATTGGCTGTGCTTTATCGCTCTCACTGACATGGTGTGAGAGGTTATTCCCCAGCTACCTGGGATCTTTGGCAAAGGGCCTGACGTGGGCTCAGAGCCATTAGTGGTTTTCACCGAGGGCTTGTAGAGGATATTTATAGTGGGAAAAGAGGCACTGATGAGTTTTAGAAAAGGTTACTCAGTTTCCACCCCAGGAAAGTGCTGGAACAAATAATCACAGAACTAATTGCAAACACCCGGGGGTGTGGGGGGGCTACTAATGGGGATTTGTCAAGAACAAACTTAGTTAAATCACTCCAGTTATTTTCTGTGTCAGGGGAAGTCCTGTCATGTGGAGAGAAGTGGTGGATGTACCCCTGACTCCAGTTTTCTCTCACTTCAGGAAGGTAGTGCTTCTCATGATGTTTTCTTGAACAGGGCTGGGCAATGTGGTTGGGATGAAGCCACTGGAAGAGATGCTGCAAAACCACAGAGGTAACAGGACAGTACGAGTGGATTCAGTGCCAGTTTGAACTAGCAGTGGTTGGGCTTGAGGACAGTCAGCCTTGAAAGCAGCCATTGCTAAATTGTCATTCCCATCCTGGATAGTGGAACTGATGTTACCTAATTCCAATCTCAGCTGACCCCAAGCAAAGAGGGCCAGTGGTACACAGGGAGGTGGGACAGCAGTCGGGATGACCACGTTGGGCTGGAAGAAGCAAGGTGGAACATAGGAGGAACAAGCATGTTGTAGCCAGGGATGGAGTGGAGCACAGCCAGGTGAGTGCCATGCTCCTATTTGGATGTTATGCTTCAGGAGCAACGGAAATGCTTGAGGAGACCTCAGAGCCAAGTGCTGAAAATTGTGAAAGACTTGGAAAACACGATTTATGGGGAACAGGTGAATGACCTGGGGCTGCTGAGCTTAAAAGAGGGGAAGGTGCCGGGGAAGAAGAGATTATAGCAACCTTCAAGTACATTAAGGATGGTGACAAAGGGGAAGATTTGCTCTCTGTGCTCATCCTGGGTGGGATTGGAGCAAATGGGCTCAGTGTGTAGCAAAGAGATTCAGTTCAAACCGAAGGGGTGTCTTCCCTGACAGCAAGGCCAGCGAGATGCCAGGACAGGCTGATGGGGTGAGCCATGGGAGTCTCAGGGACTCAGGGGAACTGGTTTAGGTGCAGCAAGATAGTCCAGACGATCCACTGAGATCTCTTTCTGGCCCCTTTTTATTTTTTATAATGCCATGAAACAATCCTACAGACTTCATTAGGCTACCTCCTGGAATAAAATTCCCTCCATGGGCTTGTTTCTTTGCCACAGCGCACCTGCGTGATCCCTCGCTCTGGTGCGAAGTGGGTGTGAAACGCTGCTGCTGGGATGTGTCGCTGTCGTACACCTCCGCTCCAAAGTGCAAATAACTCCCCGGGCTGCGAGCCGGGGGACGGGCCCATGGTAAGCGATGGGCTCTGATTGATGAATTTTCACAGCAGGTGAGAGCAGCAGGAGACACACACATTACAGATTTGATGTGCAGATAGTAGCACTCAGGAAGACAAATTGAGTGAATACCTCAGGATGTGGCTGCTGGGTCAGCCTCCAGCATTACCCAGTGGCAGACAAATCCCTGCCCTCAGCCCTGGCAGGAGGCACCTCCCGAGATGGAGGGGGTGACACCGCCCCTGTGGCCGGCTCCCAATTTTCTTCATTACCTGCTCTAAGCTTCTCCCAAAGATAAGTGGTTCTTGTGCAAAGCCGCTAATTTAGTCCCAGCAAACAAGAAAATAAGTCTGGATGTGAAAGGCTGGTGGGATTTTGACAGGATGCATGTAGAGGTTGGGCGACTAGTCTTAATTAGGCCATCTTTGTTTACATTTGATGTTTATCAGCTAATTGGCATGGCAAGGTGTGAGTCACACAGCTTCCCTCTGGCATGAAATCAGTTCGCAGGAGAAAAACTGGGAGAACAAATGATCCCAATTATAAGAAAACCCACTGTGCTAATTACCATCCCACGGACTACGGAGCCTCCCACCCGCGTCCTTGCCCAGCCGCCCGTCCCGCCATCTCCCGTGCCCGGGCCCGGCGCCGGCACACTCCTCCCGCCCCTGTGCCCAGCCCCTCGCTCTGCCTGGGACCCTCCTCTGTCACCGCAGGAGCAAAGGTGATGCTTCACCAGCTGCTCATTTCCTGCCCCACAGCGTTTCCCTGGGACTAAGCCTGCTGCCTGCACCGCTGCCCTCGTTATTCCCCCTCTCCATTTTTTTTTTATTTTGGATGGGTGTGGACCATCGGGAGTGTCTCATGCTCCCAACATTGTGATACCCGTCAAGTCTAAGGCTGGATGTTTGCTACAGTGTAGCTGGACTGGAACCTCATCACTTAGGCTGATTAAAACCAACAGTCAAACCTTGCCTTGACTCTTTCCTCCCTACCTTCCAACTTCTGAAAGTATTTTTACACCACCTGAAGGTTGGTGTGAAGTTGGTTTCCTGCTCTACCCTCCTTCTACTGCCGTGGCACTCGACTTTGTTGCACGTGCTCACACATATTTTAGGTATGTATGTACATATGTATGTCCTGTAAATCTCCATCTCCCTCTGTCTCCCTCTCTCTCCATCCTTTGGGGAGATGTGTTGGCCCTATACCCTTTCAGGCCTTTTCCCTATACATTAAGGGTCCAGTGTGCAGGAATGTTTCTTGGCTGCCCTTGAGTTGAATGATGATCCTGGAGGCTTGGAAAAGCCACAAAGCTCAATGCTCTCTGTCTCCCTGTGTCTCTCTTGTCTTCCCTTCTTAGTAGGGGTAACAGATGGCTGAGGCTTTCACCAACAGTCCCGAACACATTGTCACTCCCAACTGAAAGTGAAATATTCAGTGGCATTTAAATTAAATAGACTCTAATGCTTCAGTAATATTAATTACGGTTTCATTCATCCCTGGCCTAATAAATCAACACATAAAGATAGGATGATCCTGTGGCTGGCAGCAAAGCAGGGCTATTCTGCCCTTTGTAAGGTTATGCACACAAAGCCCCCATTCTTACAGGGACATGATGGCCCCTGCAAACATCTGTGCTCAGCACCACTTGAGGAGAAGCCAAAGTGGTAACATTTAAACTTTTCTTGTCCAATTTGTCCACGCAACGGGGCTCAATTCAACAAGAACTTGCAAGTTAAAATTATAAAACCCATGTTAAGTGGGTGAAAACTTTTCAGCAGTTCGGTCAGGGGGGCCCAGATTTATTCTGGCAGCGCCAGGAAGCCAAGGGCAGGACGTCCATTCTCACTGCTGAATTTGTTACCCCAGCTTCAACCTTTAAAAGAGGGGGGTGGGGGGGTGGAGAAGGGTAGAAGGGTTGGAAAACCTCGTGGTGCTAAGCTAAATTTCAAGATTTGGGGGTGCCCCGGGCAGCAATTTTTCACACATTTTTTTTTTGTGTGAATACCACAGGGGAAATAGGCTCTGCACTTCACCAACAACAGGTTTTTTCCCCTCACCGCTATACATATGTAAAAGGAGGCTAATAAAACGGTTGAAGAAAAGATCACTGCTAGTAAATCTTCTGGAGACAAAACCCTCCACTTGTGGTGCTTCAAAGCTGCCCAGAGCTACCAGTTTACCCCAAGAGTCCCAACTCAGGGCTGCTGATTGGAAAATAAAAAGCCCTGTGCTTGAAAACTTCGCTCCAATTGTTATGCGGTGAATGTGGGGTTTTCATACAGCAGCTTTACTTGACCAAATGACTCCCAAGTATACAAATGAAGAGCTTGTCACCTACACAGTTTAGCTCCTTTGGAAAGGTCTAGCTAGATCTAGTTTATAATGAAAATAAGTACATTATAATGACAATGTCATATCTTGCAAGTGCATCGCAGAAAGCCGGACCAGCTGAAAAAAACAAAATTAAATGAGGGGGGAAAAAAAAGGACACAAAGCTGTTTGGTGAAGCACTGGGAAGGTGTAATTCGGCAGCAGCCCTTCTGGGAGACAGCGGAGAGGAGCAGCCTCGTTTCCTGCAGAGGCG